TGAAAGAAATCAAAAAAAACATAACAACATTTAAATATTTTTAAAACAATAAAGAAAGAATGGTATAAAAATCTGATAATTATATAAAACATTTCCCAATGTATGTGTTTACAGAAAGTCTGAAAAAAGACATGAAATATGCACATCCTGTCTCATAGATTAGTCTCACACTGTGTTTTAACTCCAGTGTGTGTGAGTGTGTGTGTGTGTGTGTGTGTGTGTGTGTGTGTGTGTGTGTGTGTGTGTGTGTGTGTGTGTGTGTGTGTGTGTGTGAGTGTGTGTGAGTGCCCTGTGATGTATCACTGCTGTGTTTCCTTTAATTAATCCTCCTCCTGTAAAGCAGTAAAGTGAGTGTAATAATTCCACCCAGGCCGCTCTGATCTGCCTAATGTGCTGCTCTACCTCTGACTTAAAGCCAGACCATAAATCCAGAGACTTCAGAGACGCTAGCTGAATAATGCGGCCATTAGATGATAAGGAGGGACTCAGCAGGGGGGCGGGGTCTACATGGAGGGGGAGGGGCTTAATCTCCGCTAAAACTCACCCGGAATTACCTGTGAACATACAAGCAGTGAAATATCTCAAATCTCTGTACAATGACAGTAAAGGAAATCAATTACATTACACTTCTGTGAAGATTTGTTGCCTTTTCTTTCATAACTGATGTCTTTCTGCAAATGACTCCTAATATATAAAAGTACATTTCATAATAAAACTACACATTACACCGTTTAGTAATACTTCTACTTAAGTTAAGTATCTAAATACTTTCCCCAGACCTGCTTGTCTTTGTGTTTTTCTGTGAATTGTTGAAGACTCATTCATTAAAGTAGAATCTCTTCCACACACACTTTCTGCTCATCACCAAACACAGAGAACATTTCCCTGCTGCTGAGTTAATAAAGCTGCTGGAGGAAGAAATAAAGCTCAAGCACTGAAGACACAACGAAGAAAATTACCCTTTGCTCTGAATTAGAGAGGAAGTTTCTCCATCTAATAGGAATGAGGAGAAGCGCTCCTCGTTTTAAATCCATCTGCTGTTGTTTGTGCATTTCTTCTCAGGATTTGCATTAGTTTCATGCTGACTGAAGAGTTTCCTCTGCTTGCTTCATGCCTGTAAAAAATCACAGTAACAGAGTTTTAAATGCACATGGATCTGATTATTACCCTCTGAAGGTTTTTAATGGGGCGTACAGTTGATTCTTCGTGAAAGAATGACGACATCTCTGTTCATACAAAATAAAAAGCCACCTCAGTGTTTGTCACAGATCATTTAAGGGTGTTAACTTTGTTACTGTTAAGAGTGCATGTGCTTAAGTGAGTAACTTGAAAATCAAAACACAGTTCCCTTTCACACAAAAAATATAAAAACTCAGATAAAACAACATTTCATAAATCACAACACCTAGTGCATTCTGGGGTTTTCCCTTTCCTGTAGTGTGTTAATAGGTTTGTGTCCATGTAAATGGCTGCAAAGGCTAAAATACCAAAGTTGGTTGACCAATCAAAACAGAGCTGGCCAGCTAACCAATCAGAGCAGACTGGGCTCTGGTTTCAGACAGAGGGTGAAAAGAGGAGAAAATATGAGAAAAATAAAGAGCTTTTTGAACAATAATACATGGAAAACTTGTCACAGAGTATCGGCACTAAATACTCATATGAACGCGAAAATAAACATGATATGTCCTCTTTAAAAAAAACACAAACAGAATGAATAGAACGGTGAAATAAAAGATGAATGTTTTGCGATACTTCAAACTCGAGGCGTGAGCAGTAGGTACCGGAGAAAATTGGAGTGGGAGTTTCAAAACCTGGTCTGCACTCAATCAAAACCCCTCTCCATCGCTCCACTCTCATGCTCTGACTGGGTCACAGTTTTGTGTCAGGTGTTCATTTCAGGCCCAGTCAAACAGACAGATTTCATTTCCTGTTCCAGACACCAGACGAGTCCTGACAGCGTTTGTGTTGAGCCCTCTGCTCAGACTCGCCTCCGATAGCTGACTGACGGCCCTGTGGAAAGCTAATCGATGGCGGGAAAACATCAGCAATAATCACCGTCACCAGAGGCCCAGAGAGCGTGACCTGACGGAGACAGTTCCCCGTCAGAGTGGTGGAGTGTCTCTGACAGGTGAGAGCTGTGGGAGCTTTGATAAGAGTCTCAAAGCAGCTGGTGTGATCAATCGGCTGGATGGATTCACTCAGAGTGGAGAGATAACGGCGTCAAAATCTAACGTCTCCATCAAATAACAACTGTTTCATCTCCAAACATCCAACAGGAGGACAACATTATACTGCATGTAACACTTTTCAGGTGATGGGTGAAATGAAAAGAGTGTATGGCATGCTATATGTATCTTCTATATATCCTTATACTAAATAAATATTCAATACAATATATTAAACATTACAAGTAGAGGAAGTATTCCTTACCTTGGAAAAGTAACAAATACCACACTGCAAAATGTTCCTTAATTCCTTCCTGTAGTGTGTTATAGGTTTGTGTACATGTAAATGGTCTGCAAAGAGTTTCCCTCCCACACACTATCTATTGGCTAGCGCTCCAACAAATGATGTTGATATGATCGGCTAAGTGGCAGGACATCTCTAAGCGGTTGACCAATCACAACAGAACCGACTAGTTAACCAATCAGAGCAGACTGGGCTCTGGTTTCAGACAGAGGTTGAAAAGAGGTGCTGCAGTATGAGAAAAATAAAGAGCTTTTTGAACATTAAAGAATGGTTAAACATACCAAAGTAAGCTTGTTTTAATAACTCATGGATGTACATTTAGATTGTAGGGACCCGGTACTAGAGGTGAAATACTGCCCCCTATGTCGTTGAAGCAGGTGGTACAGAACTACTCATTGCACCTTAAAATAATTAATATTTTCCGTACCCTGGGATTAACTAAGTTCTTATTTGTATGTGTGCACTCAATTCAATCTAAAATACTGCCTGAATTCAAAACAATTTTTTTATTTGATTACCAAGTCTTTATTTTGTTTTTTTACACAAAGCTGTCCTCACTTGTAACAACTTTTACGTGGTCCTCACAAAGCATGAATACAGGAATTCACACACGCACACACACCATCCTCTCCACGTGCTCGCAGTTTCAACACTTGTATTCACAGCAGGTTGATTGACAGGTGAGAAGGATCGCCGGTGACCTCTCATCGTGTGTGAGACATCAGAGCGCTTAGAAGTCAGAGTACAAGTAAACACACCATGAAGGGGAGAAGAGAGCGAGACAGAGAGGAGTGACCCTGAAGGCATCATCGCTCAGCAGGAAACAAACAACTGATTAAAAAAGTTTCAACTACCTTATGACTTTTGATTATTAAGAGTTATAATTTGTAATACGTTTTCTTAAACAATTCCTTTATGCTGTGATAATGAGCGAACGTTCTCTGACTTACGCCACCGCAGCACACAGCACAGGACACACACACCACACACACACACACACACACACCCCACACCACACACACACACACACACACACACACACACACACACACAGCACACACACAATACATAAATAATAATTGAATAATAATAATAATATACTGATTATATAACATTATCAATAATAATATAATAATA